TTCAAGGAAGGCCTAGTAGTGTAGTGGTTAAAACAAACAAACAAACACCAAGACTCTAGTAGATGGTTATTGTGATAAACCAAAAACATCGAAATAGGTGAGCATAAGTTAGATGACTCTTGCCTTCATTGCACTTCCCTCGTGTTGTATTGTAGGATAAACACTGGACTGCTAACTGCAATGTCAGCTGTTCAAACACACCAGCTGCTCCTCTGAAACCCTATATAGATAGGGTCTCTATGAGTTGGAACAAGCAACAACAATGTAATCAATATTAACAGTTTAGTGTGTATTTATCTTAATGCTCTTCTGAATACCTACAAACATATTAACATATACAGTGATAGTTACTAGCTTTTGAAAACCGTGAACAATAAAATGTATAGCTGGGATATATATTTTATTCATTTAAAATGTATAGCTTGGGGTATTTTTTCCCACCTAGGAATATATTAGTGACATTCCACATATAGATTTACCTCAGTTTTTAAAATATATAGAATGAACTATGTATTATTTATTCAGTTACTCCTCAAAGGTTGTACACTGGGTGATTGATTCTCAGGGTTTTGTCACCTCGTTCAGTTCCAGAATCTATGTGACTGGACTGTTTTAAGTTTAATATCATAGCTATGTGAACTCTGAAATAGCCTTTCCTTCCCCCACCTTCCCAGTGACTCAAAGAATAAAGCAGAAGGGAGATGAAGACGAGCTCGGAATGTGTGTAATTACTCCAGACAGCACATGGCCAGCAGTCTCCTGCTACACTATTTACATCCTATTCCATTGAGATGGCACTTGCTGCTCACATGACCCAACTGCAGTTCTCACTCCACCGCCAGCACAGCTGAATCCAAACTGCATTGGCAGCTCTGCACATGCTCTGTCTGGCCCTGTGAAGCCTCACTCACCCATTGAGATTTCTGTTGGTTTAAAGCAACATTCAGGCTGCGGAAGCTCCATGACCTGCAGTGATTTCCCAAATCCAGATCAAAGGCAGGTGCCCTCCACTCCAAATATTGTTTGGGGGATTTGGACTTTTTAAAGAATTGTTTGGGGATAGAGAGTGTATAATACTTACACTAAGAGTTACTGCTGAATGAGGCCATAAGAAGTAACTCTTTTCCTGGCAGGTATAACAGAAATAGCATTTACCTATTTTCATCATTTGCCTTGACAACAACCTGCCACTCTAATGCACATTTAATTCTCAAACAGAGAGGTCTTGGCAAGCGAAGCCGCCACTGACTGTTGTATTGACTAGAACGTGTGAGTGAGATGGTGTTTTCTCCTCTCCAGAGCCCTGATGTTTTTTGTCATTCTGACTGTAAATGATGAGACAAGCAACCATGGATTTTAGCACCCCATCTGTGTTTGATCAACAAAAAGGTAGGTGTTTCAGCTGCTTTGACTTTTTCCTGTTCTTAGCATCTTTTGTCCAGACGTAGGATTTGCAGTTGTAAGAAGAGAGAGATAGTAGTGTGTGTGTGTGTGTGTGTGTGTGTGTGTGTAAACAGGATTTCTATGTGAAAACAAAACTATTCTAAATGTGCATTTGTAAACATTTGGAAGAGGAAAAATAACCGTATGGTCTGTCTTGTTGGACAGCTCCTAACCACAATTTTTTTCATTGCATTTCAAGTGTGTCATCTGTTTCAAATAATGTCATCTTTATTCTCATTAGTCTTTTTTTATCTTAAAAAAATAGACTAAATAATGTAAGAACAAATCACGTGTCTTTTTGTAGTCTATTTACCCAAGTTCTCATTGTTATAGCCTCACTTGATTCCCTTCAGGAATAGATGCTGCCCATATTCACACTGTGGCGGATACATTGTCTCATCCAAGGTTGTGTAATGACTTGCCACTATGTCATTATTTGCAAAAACAGGCTGTATTTTTTCATATTCGTAATTTCCAGAGTGAAGGTAATTTTCCACAGGAAGAGGTTGCAGTGAAATACATGCTTATAATATGTGTTTTTTAAGCTGTATAGTTGATGTCAGTACATTTTACATATGTGGTATGCATGTGTACATACATATATGTAATACTTGTATGCAACTATACATCTTTTCCTTGTATGTATAAGAAATTTTCTTTCTGTAAGTATGATAAATAGCTTTTGAATCTTTTTTAAATATCTGAGACCTAAACCACTTTCTATCGTCTCTTGATATTCTTCCACGTCCTAAGGTTCCTCAGTCATTTTATTTGTTCTATCTAACAGCCTGAAAATGGTAATTTGTGAAAGCCTCCTTAAGAAAATTCTTTGTTTTTTTCATTTTCTTTTTCCTGCTTTAGGTCACAATGTATTTATGATCCTTCAAGCTATATCTGTTTTCATGGATACATTATTTTAGCTCAGTGGGTCTCTATAATATTAGATTTGAAATGAGATACCTGAATTTCTAGATGTATATAATTTGATCTTCAGCTGTTAACCCATTTTGAATTGTGTGTGTGTGCACTCAGAATATGTTAGTCCACACTGTGTTTGGATATGAACACCGGAGAGAAGGTGATTGTCACAGCTGTGCCTACCACCATTCCCTCATCTTTGTAAATTTCATCTCATCAGTGAGGGCAAGCAGCAAAAGTAGAAATCTGCTTAGAATCAAAGAGCTCATATTAGCTGGGAAAAAATAGATTATTGAGCAGTGAAATCCAAAGAAGAACACATTGAGTTTATTTTTTAAACAAATTTGAGGTCACTGAAACTAACCACAGAAGAGCTAGCTCTTGGTAATGAAACCACCTCTTCCAATATGGTGTCTTCTAACAGACAACATAACAAGGCATAGCTACATTGATTTCTGTCTTCCATTTGAGCAGTTCACTGCATTTCTTCCACCCCAGGCCTGACCACCCCCACCCCATGCTAGTTAACCCTCTCCCTGCCATTTCTGAGAGAGAGCTTTTGTCTGTTTGCTTGAGACTCTATGGAATGGTAGAAACAGCATGGGCTTCAGAATTTTACAGATACAGATCGGAATGGCAGATCTACTACTTCTTGGCTGTGTGACACTGGCAGGCTACTTAAACTCTTTGGGCCTTAGTTTCCTCAGCAATAAAACAGATGATGCTTACCTATCAGAGTTGTTGTGAGGATTTAGAATACTGTGTGTATGAAAAGCATCTGTCACATCGCATTACGTGAAAGAAGTACTAGTAGATTTTTGCCAATGTTGTTATTATTGCTACATTATTAGTGCTTGAGTTCCTGGGTAGTGCAAATGGCTAATGCACTTGGCTGCTAACAGAGGTTGGAGGTTCAAGTCCATCCATAGACACCTCAGAAGAAAGACCTAGCAATCTACTGCTGAAAAATCAGTCATTCAAAACCTGTGAAACTCATTCTACTCTTATACATTTAGTCGCCGTGGATTGCAATTAACTCAATAGCAATTGGATTTTGTTTAAAACTGTGAATTGAGTGAAGGTTTACTGGCAAGATCAACAGTTTTACATTCAACAAATAACACACTTTGTTTCATCTCAGTGATTATAATTTCCCCCATGGAACAATAGTTATCTCACTTTATCTCTGTGGCTCCTATTTCCATTCCAACCACCTTCCCATCTCTTCTCACCTTTGTTCTTAGATACATGCTGCCCCTTTGACTTTGAAAGATTGACCGTTCCATCATTTCGTAATCATCCCTTACTCGTGTTGTTGTTCCCCCATATACATATCCCCTGCATGACTGAAAGTTGGGTCACAAGGGTGACCTTTCTAGACCAGAAGGGTAGTAAAGGGCTATAGTTTCAGTTTTTTCCTGTCTCTTTCTGACCAGTAAATCCTGTCTTTTTTTTTTTTTTTTAATTAATAACTTTAAGTTTTGTTCCACACATCCTGCCACTCTATTCAGGACCTTCTAATGTGATCTCTTTCACATTATTGGTAGTGATAGCTGGGCACCATCTAGTTCTTCTGGTCTCAGAGTCATGAAGACTGATGTTCACATGCTCCATTAATTAGTCCATTGGACTAATTGATTCCAAGCATCTTCAGTTCTCATCACTCTGCTTTCTTCTTCACATGGAGAGATCAATAGCTGCATTTTAGGCAGCTGCTCATGAGCCTTTAAGATCCCAGATGCAACTCACCAAAGAAGGATGTTGAAAGCTTTCTTTGTGGACAGTATTAAGTCAATTGGCCTTGGCGTCCCCTGAGACTGGTCCTGAGCTTCCAAGCTCAGCTACTCATTAGCAATCGAATTTTATAATCACCACATTCAGTCAGGTCAAGTAAAAAGGTTATTCGCTTCTGTATCACCAAATGAGGGTTTAGTTAATATTCATTGGATGTTGTTGTTGTTAAGTGCCAATGAGTCAGTGCCAACACATAGTGAATTTGTACAGGGTTCCAAGGAGCAGCTGGTGAGCTTGAACCGCCAACCTTGCAGTTAAAGTGGCTTTGCAATCTGGTGCATTAACCCACAGCGCCACACCAGGACTCCATTCACTGAATAGATAGATGCATTTTTTCAGTGCTTCAGGATACTTCAGAGTCAACTCTAGAATAATAATTAATTAATGGTGCCTGAATAGTTCTGTTATCTTATTACTTGTTGTTGTTGTTGTTGTTGTTGTTGGGTGCCATCCAGTCAGTACCGACCCATAGTGACCCTATGCACAACAGGACAAAACACTGCTCAATCCTGGGCCAACCTCACAATTGTTGCCACACTTGAGCCCACTGATGCTGCCACTTGGCCACTCCATCTCGCTGTGGGTCTTCCTCTTTTTCTCTGACCCTCCACCTTACCAAACATGATATCCTTTTCTAGTGACTGGTCCCTTCTGACAATATGTCCGAAGTATGAGAGAAGAATTTTGGCCATCCTGGCCTCCAACGAGCACTCTGGCTGCACTTCTTCCAACACACATCTGTTGGTTCTTTTGGCAGCCCATGGCACTTTCAATATTCTCCTCCAATGTCATAACTCAAATGCATCAATTGTTCTAGAGTCTTCCTTATTCACTGTCCAACTTTAGCATGCATATGAGGTTATTGAAAATACTATGGCTTGGGTCAGGTGCACGTTAGTCCTCAAGCTGATATCTTTGCTCTTCAACACTTTAAAAAGGTCTTGTGCAACTGATTTGCCTAATGCAATACATCATTTGATATCTTGACTGCTGCTTCCATGAGTGTTGATAGTTGATCCAAGAAGAATGAAGTCCTTGACAACTTCAATCTTTTCTCCATTGAGAAGAATGTTGTTTATTCGTCCAATGATGAGGATTTTTGCTCCCTTTACATTGAGATGTAATCCATACTGAAGACTGTGCTCTTTGATATTCATCAATAAATGTTTTAAGTCCTCTTCAATTTCAACAAGCAAGGTTGTATCATCTGCATATCACAGGTTGTTAATGAGTCTTCCTCCAATCCTGATGCCATGTTTTTCCACATATAACCCAGCTTCTCGGATTATTTGCTCAGCATACAGGTTGAATAAGTATGGTAAAAATATACAACCTTTGCACACCTTTCTTAATTTTAAACCATTCAGTGTTCCCATGTTCTGTTCGAACAACTGCCTCTTGGTCCATGTACAGATTCCTCATGAGCACAGTTAAGTGTTCTGGAATACTCATACTTCTCAATGTTGTCCATAGCTTGTCATGATCCACACAATGGAAAGTCTTGCATAACCAATAAAGCACAGGTAAACATCTTTTTGGTATTCTGTTTCAGCCAAGATCCATCGGACATCAGCAATGATATCCCTCATTCCACAGCCTCTTCTGAATCTGGCTTGAACTTTTGGAAGTTCTCTGTCAATGTATGCTTGCAGCCATTTCTGTATTACCTTTAGTAAAACTTTACTCTCCTGGGATATCAAAGAGATTGTCCAATGATTTCCACATTCCGTTGGGTCACCTCTCTTTGGAACGGGTACAAATATGAATCTCTTCCAATCAGATGGCCAGATAGTTGTCTTCCAAATTTCTTGGCATAGATCAGTGGTGTCTCCAGTGCTACCTCACTTTCTTGAAAGATTTCAATTTTTGTTCCATCAATTCCTGGTGCCTTGTTCTTTGCCAGTTCCTTCAATGTACCTTGGGCTTCCTCCTTCAGTATCATTGGCTCTTGATCATATGCTACCTCTTGAAATGGTTGAACACCAACTATTTCCTTTTGGTACAGTGACTCTATGATGCTTTGTGCATCATTCAATAATTTGCCCATAGAATCCTTCAATAACGAAAGTTGAGGCTTGAATTTTTCTTCAATTCCCCCAGCTTGAGAAATGCTGAGTGCGTTCTTCCCTTTTGGTTTTCTGACTCCAGATCTTTGCACATTTCATTGTAATATTTGACTTTGTCTTCTTGAGCTGATCTTTGAAAATTTCTGCTCAGCTGTTGTATCTTTTCCT